ACTGGCGGCCATTTTGTTAAAGAATTCAGTTCTGGATCCGTATCCAAGACATGTCTGGATTGATCAAGTTCAAACTTCACACACACATGGTACATCATGTCACAAATAGATATGTGCATTTGTTTCATGATCTGCTTAACAATAGCGGAATGATGGCCATTTTAAGGCCGAAAATGCATCAAAATCACGTATTTTCACAATTCCAGAACCGGATCTCAGTCATGCATGGACGGATTTTGTTCAGATTTAGCACAATGTGTTGTACATATGCAGGTGCATTTCGGTCATGATCTGCTTTGAATGTATATGTCACTCAAATATGAACGGAACGGGGACGTGTCATTGACAATGACTTGTTCACCCGTTAGTTCAAGCCTCTTTTCAATGCGAGATGGAGGACTGTTGATGTTTATTGTGAATTCGGGATATTTGAGATAAATTCATTTTATTATTATTTTTGTTAATTAGATGCTTTGGTTGCTGTTATTTAGGAAGGAAGGAAGTTAGTTACTTTCAGATACAATTGGCAGTTAGTTGCTAACATTTTTAATTTCTCATTCCTCACCACCAGAGGGCACCATTAACGTTCTGAATATACTGGCTTCGTTCATGATCAATGTAGATTAATATTTTAACCACTATTACGATTCGTTTTCAGTATATAATTCATATAATTCTGCAAATCCATTTTCTAAATACTCTGGATTAATTGTATCAAATAAAGTGAACTACTATGCATAGTTTTGTTCAGATTAACCATCACGATAATAATTAGTGACCTTAGTATACAGCACAATTTTGATATCTGAAACTGTCACATGACGTTTCTCTTCCGCCATTTGTTTTCGCATGTAATGTGGTAGCCAAGTTAAAATGTATGACCTACGAGTATATATTGAAAAAAACACTAACGTCATGAGAACCCTCTTCACTCATCAGTGAGTCTTATGACAGACAGACCGACTAATTCGGTTTAAACTTAGTTTTTTTTTTTTACGCATGTTAGCTTACATCAAGTTCTTTTCCGTTTGTTTTTTTAATTGGTCGACTTTTATATTGCATGCTTCTCTAATTTTGATTTGTAACTTGATTAAAGTAATCACTATACTGGTAATAAAACTTGGTACTGAGACATTGTTTTACACAGATGCAAGTTGACTTATGTCA